AGGCGCCATGTGGACTTTATCATTAAATTACACAGCTGTAATGTACAGCTTGGGATCCTGGGCTGATGCTGTGGCTCATTTTTTACTTTTAATAAAGAAAATTTCATCTTAACATCAGAGACGTGGAAAACACTCATTTCAAAACAGCTTTTGGGGCATTTTGGTGCAATAAATCTAAAACTTTTTGTCTGTTGGAGGGACTTTAACGTTATTAGAGTCTTCCCCTCCTTACTCGTCACATTTGAACTAGATGTATCTTTCTGAAATAGCCTGGAGGTATGGTGGTTAACTTTTTAGGGTTAAAATAAGAGTGTCTTTGTTTTTTGTTCCAAGGGTTGGGGTTAATCAAAGGGAGTATGCAGTTTGGTTACTGGTTGCAATGTCTCACTCGTTCTACTCACTGTTTAATGGGGTGTTGCTATAATACAAAGAGTAGGACACAGGCTCCATTATAAAACAAATATCTGAAGTCATAAAGGGGACACACATGTGTGTTACTATGGTTGCCAAATTATCTTATATAAATGTAGACGAAGGTACTGTGAGGCCACTTCTGCAGTTGCTTCACTTTCCATGGAGTCAATGAGCAGAAATATGGACGGGGCTACTCTTCTATTGCAACCCACATTGTGGTCAACGGGGGTCTATAGTTATATACTGTCATCAGGTTTCAAGCACTCTGCTGCCGCATTGGCATCTACTGTTATCAAGTGCATCTCCTGCTTTTACCGCCGTAACATCGCTTTGGTAACTCAGCACCAATCTCGACGAATGAAATGAGTGGAATCTGTAGATTCCTTAGATGCAGATGCAGAGATAACTTTGTTCACAATCAGCTGGTGGCTTTATATCACTACTAGTACATGCTGACACCCCTGCTACTGCCCTTCTCCCAGCTTCTGTTTTGGTTAACTACAGAGGTGTTTGCGTGGTGGTGGTAGTACAGGACGTGGTGTGTGTGTGTGTGTGTGTGTGTGGTGGTGGTGGCGGTAGTGGGGGGTCTGGATGTAGGAATCAGCTTCTGACAGCCCAGCCACAACATCCTGTCTTGCCATTAGCAAGGTGAAGGTTCGGCATTATTTGCTGTTGAATTACAGTCGACATTAGTGGTGTGGGAGCCACCGACACATCAAAGTCATCAAAAGACTAGCTCTAAAAGGATAGAGGCCTTCTGTGGTTTTAATGGCTGCTGTTTTTTTTTTGGCGCAAGGCTTTTAGTTGCCCACATGTTGCATTACCGTGTTTATCTTTGTCTTTCTCTCACCACGGGGGGATCTGTGGGTAGTTGAGAGGGGCGACTTGCGTCCGTCACCATGGGATTTCGTTGTTTAGGCCCGGGGAGAGAGAGACGTACAGAAAAGCTGCAACAATTACCAGAATATTCACAATTCATGCAAAGTCGTGGATAATGGATCGTACAGAGGTGAGCAACAATGTGGCTCAAAGTAAAATGGTTGCTCTTATTGATGGTCTTTGATGTGTCTTGTAGTTGATCTGATTAAAAAACACACGCATTTGTCTCACCATACTACCTCTCATCTGATTTGAATACTCCCATTTTAACCCTCAACCATCATGAAGTTGAAAACACTTATTAAAGTTACTCAACCCAAATGGTTTTGCTGAATTACAGACTAATTCTTTCAGCACTGGAAAATGTCTTCAATCTGAAGATCTACGTGTCAAGCAGGCCTATAAACAAACGTGTATACAACATTTCCATGTGTCATTATTCTGCATTAAAGGCTTTTTTGCGTGTCATTTTTTCGTGTGTCATTTAACAACACGTTGTTACAGTGAAACAGTTATGTTCAGGCTGCAAAACTAAGGTGACAGCCACTCTTCGGTTTAGTCATCAAAACAACTTAGTTAGGTTTAGGAACGACGTCATGGTAGGGCTTAAAATGAGTATGTAAACAGGAACAGGAAAACACGTCACAAACACGAACGCAACTTGAAATAAACCACTTTAGGACACCGGACTGGAACTACGGTCACCTGGTCGCAAGTCCTGTGTTTGTTTGACTGATCCACGTCACGCCCCGCCCCCCATGAGCAGTCTCTTACATGTTACACTACGTCACTTGTTCAGAGCGCATTGTATTCACATTAATCATTTCCATTTCTGTCAGTACAGACTACACGCTGCACAAATGACACGCTAAAAGCAAGGAATGCGTTTTTGTTGCTCGCAAAATGACTTACAAATTGTTGCGTCATTCATACGTCAATTGGTGAGAGAGAACTGATTCTGACACGCGCACACAAAGAGGCTTACACTGCACTGTTAGTATTGACTAACAGCTGTAATATTGCAGCTGGCAGTAAGCTGTTTCCTCATTTTCAACAGTACCTCTGTTGTTTCATTGCACTCATCATTAGCACAGCAACTCGCTCTGCTGTAAATAGCATCCATTCAGCTGGCGTCCGTCAGGCATTGAGAGTCCTTTTTTCCCCCTTACATAAAAAGAGGCCTTTTCACTCTGCTAATTCCCTCCGACAATAGCCGCCAAATAACTTCTCTGCGGGCTCGGGGTCTACCAAAAGTGATAGTGAAGTCATTTTTGCCAGGGAAAATGAGCACATTAGAGTGTAATGCCCTGCCCAGGGAGAAAATGTGACTGGTATCAACAGTATAAAAGCATGTTAAGATAATGCTTATGAGGATGAGAGAAAACAACATAGAGGAAGCTAAATCATCAGGAAGCTAAATGAATAAATCTGGCAGAAGTAGGTGGAGGCGGGTTCAGGATTACCTCAGGTTTGCGGGAGGCAGAACACAGACACACACACCACACTCATCTATTGATCCACAGCTAGGTTGTGGCTTTGGTTCTCAACGCAATTACAAAACTGGTTTACACCATGCTGATGGACAGTGGTTAGCACTAAAATGTTTGTTATCCCAATCAAGGGTCTAAGAATAGAAGATGTTGTATGCTATACAGGTTGTAAAGCTATTTGAGGCAATTCATGATTTGTAATTTTGGGCAATATAAATAACACTGACTAGACTGTAAGGCCGAGTATCGTGTAGATTTATGATGCCAGTATCAATATCAGTACCCTTTAAATGACACCAAATAACTTACATTAATACCATTGGTTGTTCCATTGCAACCTCAGTGAGCAACTGTAGAGCTATTTCTATGGTATTGTCATATATGTAATGCCTCTACCAAAATGGCCTGTATTGTATTGTGAAAATTTTATCATAAACATGCATTCTAGCATAACTATTTTGTTATTTAGTAAATGTTTTGCCCCACTTCCAAGGGGGGTATAAACAGAGCAATTTATATACATGGAAGCTGTTTGCCCCTGCTCTGCACAGCCCTAAAGCAGCACGCTTGCAGCACTCATACAGCGCAATACAACGGTTACTGCTGAAAAAGGCGTCCTCCGATCCACGGTGGCGGGAACGCGTTGCCACCAAGGCGTAATGTTCTACCTCCGGTTCCCCCCCCCCCAGGTTAAAACTGTTAGCTCTTTCAGGACTTTTGCCATTGTTAGTGCTGTTAGTATTGATAGCTTCTAGCTGCCAGCTCATACATCTCCGTGTCCACATGTCATATACAATTGAAGAACTCTTGCTGTGATTGGCTGCAGTCATTTTTCGGTGGTCTATGGATACATATATTGAAAATGAAATCCAATGACTCAATGGAGCTGGGTGTGGTCAGGTTTACTTTTAGAATTAAATCACAATCTCCCGTTGCCAACTACCTTCACCTTTTGGAAACCGCAAAAGTAGTTTAAAACCTTGGCCTCAATGGGCCGCTAGCAGGGATTGCTAGTGATGCTGAGATCATGGGGTTTCCGTAAATGTTATGTTCTCACCTGATAAGTGTTTAAATTAATTAATTTGAAGGCGCTCTTCACACTGCAATGATATAACTATGGCAAACAAATCCCCTTCTTAATCAAAATCTTATTCGAAAATCCACAATGTAAAATGTGTATGTAAATGTGTATGACAATGAAGAATGTAAAGTCCTCTTCAGGTCATAAATATAAGGAAAAACAATACAGAGAGAGCGAGAGAAACAACACTCAGGACATGACCTTCTCTTTTGCTGCAAAAATAGCACTGTGCTCAAAAGATCTCAAGGAGCTGCTTTGGTGTTGGTGTGTTGCTACACTGGTGTGAAGAAGAAACATAATCCAGTTTGAGTAATCATAACAATAACCTTGTATGCTTATCAGAGACCAAAACAGATTGCCTGTATTTGTTTTTCTTCTATTGTGTGCATCTTAATGCAGCCTCAGGAGCCCATTTGTCTGTCCGGATGCAAGGCAGAAAGGGAAGTCAAGGGAACCAAGTTGACAGAGCAAAGGGACACTCTTTTGGTATTGGCCATATGCACAGTGCAGTTGCAAACAAGGAGGGATTAAAAGTATACTGCACCTGTTTTAAAACACAGTCCTTATTTAAAAGTCAGTCTGCATACCTTGGATTATGCTAATGGTTACAGCCTTTGGCAGTAGGCGATTTGTTTATTTTTAACAGGGGGGGGAAGGACCCGGTTCGTTGGGTTCAGCTCTGCTGGACATGTCGCAGTTGGAACACGGCATAGCCGCACTTGGTGAAGGCTACTTATATTTCAGAGTCATGGTCGGGGCCATAGATTTTAACTTGCACAAACCTGAGTCAGATAAAGGATCAATGAGTCAGACAGACTCGGCTAACAAATTCAATTAAACAACTCCTCTGCCTCTGCTCCCTCTAAGCAACATGGGGATGAAGAGGGTTGCAGGTTAACAAAGGGCATGCCTTTTTTCATTTAGCTAACAAGGGCGATGGCACACCCCCTCATCCCCACTCAAATCACCTCTTGTCCCAACAACTCACAAATCTTGTAAATATCAACAGTTTACATATCAATGATTCTGGTGTTTACGTGTTCATTGGACAATCTCTCAGAATAAAAGCAGTTATAGAGTTCCAGGTAGAAAGAGAGACAGTAAAGTGACGAAGGGTCAATGTTAGACCTGCGTACCATAGACGTAGAGGATGTAGTCGTCAAAAGACTCCCCCACTGTGTTGGAAGCGACACAGCGATAGGTTCCGTTGTAGGACTTGTTCAGGTTTTCGATGTAAAGATCAGCTCCGGTGATGACGGCATGGGATGGCACATCGTCGTCCACTTTCACCCAGTTCACCCGCTGTGGCCTGAAATGAAAACCAGGGCACCAGTAAGATTTCGTGGATAAGACAGACATTCAAAACTGAGAATGTACGTGATAGATGATGTGATCCTTTTAGTAACCAATTAAATGTATATTGAACTACCCAGAGTGTAAAACAAATAGATCATTTTAATAATAAGGGCTACAAATACAATTTTAATATATATGGTATTCCCACATGTGAGAGCTTTCTTCCTCTGGGAAACATGGACTTTGTCAGCATGTGTTGTGGCAATCATCTAATGATATCTCACACAATATCTTGTGTGCAAGGAAACATAAGGGTAGACCTGAAGAAAAGTCCATTGATCAAAATCAACAGCATTTATCCTTTGAGTTAGTGTTTCTAAAATTTTTTCTCTTACACCTTTGAAAGAAAATGAAAAATGTTCCACCTTAAATTGTGTAATAATCAACTTATTCTAATAAGCAGAAGTGTTGGTCTTAGGTTGGCAACGAAAGGTCAGAGGATCACCAAAAACGTAACAATTAGCACCATCAGCACTGTTGTCGTAGTTTGCGCCGTTAGTTCTGTTAGCACCATTAGCACCGTTAGCTGTGATCCCCCGCATAAGCCATGTTGAGGCACTAGATATGCTCACAATTTTGCATTTGGCTCCTTTAAATACACAAATTTACCTAATTTTTTAAATGTATTTTCAAGCAACTGTTTACTAGAAGATAATCAAAGGGAGTTAAGATATAAAAAACAAAAATGACATTCCTCCTGTTGTGTACAGCTAAAAGCAACAATAAGTGTGAAGCAGCTTTGTTCTCAAATTACAGGCTTTCTACACTTGTATACTTGTGTTGCTGTGTAGGTGGGCGCCTATCAAGTGTCTGTATTTGTTCTCTTCTCTACCTTGACTGAGGTTTAGAGCGGGGTGACAGATTCCATTTTTATGACAATGAGCTCAGAGCCACAGAGGGTGAAGAGAAAAAAAAAAGAAGACAAAACACCTCTATTTCGCTGCTGCAACTTCCAATGGCCACTGCCAGCTACTGTCATTTCCCATGAGCGTGTGCTGATGGTCTCTCTTGTTGCATTTTGTTGTGGTGTTTTAACTTGTTTCCCTCCATTTGAAAACATTTGGTGAGTTGGGAGCAAGCAAATACGAAAGGGGGAAAAAAAGATAATGTGAAAAACCAAGGAAAAGAAAATATGAAATAACTGTTTGAGCTGAATAGCAAAAGCAAACAAACCACGTGCTGTGGTTTTGTTTGTGGTGGATGGCTTGGAAGAGAGAGTGCGTTGTCTATTACAAGTGCTCTCCAGATGAAATTAAATGTAAATAAATGATAAATATATAAATAAGATAGAGTGAGAGACATGACCTAGAAAAAGGTGGATCGGATGTTGTGAGATGGGGAGAGTGAATCTAGAGAAGGAAGATAGACAGAGATAGACGAAAGAGGTAAGATGAGGCTGCAAGGAGAGAGGAAGGGCAGGCGTCTAGAATACAAATGGCTGCCTGCAGCCGAGGCCCCCTGTGCTATCGGCTGGTAATGACTGCACAACTCTCAGCAGCTCTAATGAAAATGACTTCCAATTCCCAGCTCACTGTATTGATTGTGTTTTCATCTTTATAAAATGAATACGGGTAGTTAGCTTGTCTCTATGCCAAGTATGAAAACTTCGGGGGTGCTGGTGGATGGAGGCAGTCTGAATTACACAGTGTTTGGTTCGATGTGTGTGTTTGCGTGTTCTTGTACTTCGACTCTTCAGAGAATCATACAGACGTTCAGAATGAGAAACTTTTTTGCAAATTTGAATTTACTTGAACATGAAAACACCCACTGCAATGCCACACCTGCAAGTTGGTCACATCATCGTTTCCGATGTAATATTCATAGCTCCAGCCTAAACAGGTGATTATTTTTTCCCGTTCAAATTTGAACTACCTTGTCAACAAACTAATATGATTGATACCAACAGCACAACTGCACTGATGTTTGGATAGTTCGGCAGGCCTCCTGCCTGAGACACAAAGCTCTCACTCCTTTACTCAACCCGGAGTGCCCTAATGGCTTCAATTGCACTCCATTACATCTCATATCACGAAGACCTGTCATCTAAACAAAACAGCACCTTGGTTTACAGATGATACATGTGGGATAATAACCTAATGAGTGTCAAACAAGAGCTTTATGATGTCAATGCCGGAAATATCACAGAAATGATAAAGGCCACTGAGAGTTCATTTTTGACATTGGGGCAAAATTATACTTATTATTTGTCCTCAGCTCTGTGTACAAACAATCTTTTAACTTGAATCATCTGTGCACATCTGTGCACATCCAGTGCCTCGAGTCCATCAACATACTCTCAGTCTCCCTAAATACCTTCAGAATATTAGCACTCAACTGCCTTCCTTTTCAACCCCTTTTCTACTAAAGTTTGTCCTTCGAGATTTTAGGACCCAGTCCATTCACTATCAGTAATTACCCTTTCTGCTCTGTCCTTTGCCTTTAAAAGAGTGGCAATTAAACATCTGCTCAAAATATCAGAGTGATTCTGATGTTTTCATAACTACAGGCCCCTTGAAATTCCTGAAAAAGAAAAAAGCTGCCATTCAATAGGTGATTATGTATCCAAGAATGGCCATTTAGAATTGTGTGGCCTCAGGTCTGTCTGTAACAATAAGGCCGTCCTAGTACAGTTCTCCTGCCGGTAAATTTGAATGAATTATACTTTGAATTATAATTTGGTGGTCATGGTTCCAAAAAAAATGAACTGAACTATTGAATTTTGAAAAAGCTAACCGATATACCGATGCTAAGAAAAAACAGCAAGATAGTTCTGCATGCCACTGCAACAAGACACTCGCATGCACGAATCAATAAATGTGGTTTCTCTACCCATGGCACATTTTTAATTGTGTGAGTGTGAGAGTGGGTCTGTATCGTACTGGGGTTTGCCTTTGGCCTGACACGTCAGTTCCAGGTTCTCTCCTTCCCTGGTAAGACCCTGAGGAAATTCTACCATGATCTTTACCTCTGGTTTGTCTGAAAGGAAAGGGAGAGAGACAGAGAATGAATTACTGGGACAACACAACAGACAATGCATTATCTTTGCTCTGCATCTATATTGTTCTTTCTGATTGATTCCCATTTGCAGTTATGTTGTTTGTAGCATTCATAAACACACACAGCTACCAAATGAGGAGTGAGAAGATTTTCTCACTGTATACAGTAAACTGAAAAATATGATTTAAAATATATAACACAACCCAGTATCCTACAAATGATGTCCATGTGCAACGACGTGATCTATGTTTTCTGGTAGCGTGTCAAATTATCAAACTTTCCCAAAGTGTTTGGCTTGATTCTTCCAAAGAGGAGCTGCAGCAAACAGTCAGGATTCATATCACATCATGAGAGACATTAGGCACTGTTGTTCAGGCAGAGCACCACAGTTGAGTGAATCATTAGCTGATTGGCTTCACACTCTCCATCAGGCTACCTGCTGACAAATAGCATCCAATCATATCCATGGAGGTGTACAGCACAGATATTCTTACCTGACTCCTCACATTATTACTCAGCTGATAACGTCAGCTGAGTAATATTCACCTACTACTACTGCCTTTCCCGCTCTTCCCTTGCATCAAATCACTCTTGTTGGGTCTACCTTGGGCATAGTATTGATGGTATTTTAAATCAACCCTTACACCAAAACACGAGCCAAAGCTTTGGGGAATGATCAATGTGGTGCAGTGCACAACCACACATAGCCCTGAGTATGTCCAAAGACATTGCCCGATAAAGTTGCTACATAAAACCGAAGACACTGTTGACAAGCTGAGGCAGCTGAAAAGAAAATGTAAGCGTGTTGTTTTGACAATCAGTGGGGTGCTTTGACAGTCGCTGCTGTGCTATTCTTTGCTACCACGGAGTTTCTGTTGTTCCCACTCCCTTGACTGTTGCTGGTGTTATCAAAGCTTTTTTCTCGTCTTGGTGTGAGAGATGATCCTTTATTCTGGACAAAAATGAAATGTTTCATTCAAGCTAGCATCTGGGTAAGGGATTGAGTTCAGTGTAACCATGCACTGAAAGTAAGACTGAGACAAAACAAGGACAACAAAGGTCCTGCTCAAACTTACACCTTTTAAGGTATCCCACTATAAGTACATGTGTTTGTTTTTTTAATGATTGTAACAGTGAATGTCTTCTGGCTCCATCTCCAGGTTATGGGGCTGTTCACTTTTACACTGTGATCTGTAGGCTTGAACTTCTATCTTTATCTTCGCAAGAGTGCAGTTAGTGACAGAGTGGGATCCATGGTAGCTCTTACAGCTTGACGGATTAGCAACGGAGGGCGGGGCTTAGTAAAGGGTCAATTTTCGTCTTCATTGAAATGTTAAAATGTCTTTAATGTGCATGTGTATGTATTGGAAGAGAATCTGTCGCTCAAACAATCACTGCATTCATCAAAAGCAAAGATTGTTTCACCAGCAGTGCCATCTAAAATAATGGCACTGCTGGTGAAATTTTTTTTCGGCAAAACATCAATAGCTTAATTAACCTCAAGAACACACTTGAATGCTTTCAGCACATTATGCCCTATCTTGTTTGCAACACAATGTTATTCTGTTGCTCCTACGTCAGATCATCTCGATAAATACCTGAGTCATCTCACTACAGTCTGCTGAGTCACAATGGTGTAATTACAGTTTTCTGATTGTTCTTTTTTCCCCATTTTATAGTCTAAATGCACCATTCGTTACTTGCATTTTTAATCAGCCTGTAGACAGAGGGCCTGAGTTATGATTTCAAAGCCGGCTGTTAAGTTTCACACTGCTGTCCGACCTTCTCTGCAACAAACAACACGTGTCTGGCCATCCATCTGTCTAAATCACACCCTGTCCGTGGCCGACTCTCAGTCTTGGTGATGGACAGCAGATGGGCAAAAAGCCAAGTCTTCTGCTCAGTGGGCATGCACGGCTTTAGACAACAACCCTTTGGTTTAGTTTCCACTCCAGGCGCAACATGGCATCCTGCAACTTTTTCTTCGCTCACAACGTCATCTGACCTTGTCATCTCGGAGCCATAAACATGAAGGACGCTAGGCATCTGTAAGTTGTTTTGATAGCCTCAAGTAGTTATGTCGGAGCTTTCTTGTCTCTGCTTGATGGAAAAAAACACACACACACTGCACCGCCAGATCTGGATACTGCCACTTCAGTGGAAATGAAATAACATCTACAGTATGCAAGGAGGCCGTTATCATTATGCTAACTGAATTATTTGCTTTATTGTGTGCCTCACCTCATAAGCACTCAAGACGGCACTATCCATCTTTTCGCAGCCGGCTGACCTTAAGGGAAAACCAACCAGGCAACGGAGCAAAACAGCTTGCTTTGCTTATACACATAAACATTACAGGCTTATTTAATTATGCTTTCCCCTGACAATGGCCTTTTTGTTGTTTCCTACCACACAATGCACTCCGTTCCACTCACAAATTGCCAACGCAGTGAGTGATTGTAATGTAAATCACTGTCTATCAGTATAATATATAATCAGTAAACAAACAGTATGCCAGCAAAAGTGAGCTTCAATTTACGGATCCTGTTGTTTATAGTTTCACAGGGAGGAAATGATACGTAGCTAGATTCTTAAAAGTTTGTAGAAAGGACGATGCAATTTGGGACTAATTATAGGGGAAATGGAGACCGGGAATCTTTAGACATCTGGAACTATTTAGAACATGACATTACATTTGGTATGACATATGAACCAAATAATCCCTAATCTAATCTGAATTAGTACATTGTAATTAGGTCTATGTCTTAGTGCATAACATAAATACTTGTGTGAGCGTCTCACCTGGACAGTTTTGGGAGTGAGACACTTCCAATTAATTAATTCATCAATTTTAGTTGGTGCATATAAAAAGGAAATTATTTTGGAAATCAAGAAACTGCTCTAAAGACATCATACATTACAGATTCATAAATATCATAAATATGACATAGAAGAGAAGTCAAAGAAGATAATTGTGAAATCCCCACCTACAGTATCATTCTCTCACTCTACATTTTATATTCAACTGTATATTATCAAAAGAGAAGGTGCAGTGCAGTGCTGTCCATTGCAGTACGCACAGAGCCTGAAGCAGTGTGAGGTGCTGAGCTAGGTGGTCCATGTGAGCTCCCTGTTATCAGAGGCAAACAAAATGCCATGCTGCCTCCGTAGATGAGCTGATCTCCTCTTCTCGCTCCCCCAGGGAAAGGTCAGATAGCTACAGAAGACTTTTATTTTTTAAATAGAATGCTAGGACATGCCAGAGGCCAAAGACATAAGGTTACAGAAGCATAAAATACATAAATTCTATCATTTTGCATCAATGAAAAGATCTAAAACTCCACATTTCAAAGGCCTAGCATTTTAATTACTTGTCACATGGCTGAGTAGTCAGTTTAGATTAATTTCCAATGTCATAGTCAGGCCTGAATCACATACCTTATATATGAACCACTATAAGTGGTAAATTGTTGCAAATACTCATGTGTGATGCCTTTGTCGTTCCAAATAAATCCATTGTAGCAATAAAAACATGACCTCTGACCTCAATTAACCTCTTGCACTCCTCGTGGACGCCATTGTCCTTGGCCTGAATTGACTTTTTCAGAGGATGTAGTAGGCTAGAGTGAACATATTGGTTTCATATTAAACTATACAATCTAAGGAATCCATTGGTACCAACCAAAACATGCTAGCATGTCTGAAAGGAGGCTAAATTAAGCTCCAAATAGGCTAAATTTAGGTAAGGGATAAACTGACTTGGCCTTATTCACAAGGGCGTCTCCTGTTTATAAACATGCACACTTACTGTTGATCCCATGCCGTTTGGAGCAAAAACAATGCAGTTTTTGGGTGCAGTATAATTGTGTTATGTTCTCCTATTCTAAAAGTGGTTACTGCATAAGTCTTGAAATTGCATGAAGTGGATTTGACTAGAAAGCTGAGACTTGTGGATCTAATGACCCCTGTATTCACATGTGATGATGTTAGAAATGAACAACAATACTGTAGCCATCTGGGCACCCAAAGCTCTACGATAGTACCTCATATTGCATATACATACTGTATATATATATATACTGTATATATCTTGTAATATGAAGTCAACTTCAACAGGAACATGAGAAATAGTAAAAAAAAGGGGAGGAAATATAATTTTTTTTCAGACAGAAGTGCAAAGGTAAACTGATGCCGTACATTAGTATATTTCTCTGGAAGATGTTCGTAAACATGAGTTTGAATCTATTTGCACTTTCTATTCATCATACACTGAGATAGTTTCCCTCTAATGACATTGAAGAAGTTTCAGTGGGTGAAAAATGTGTGAAATGTATGTCATTTAATTAGTAGAGATGGAAGAATCTATTCCATTGCAGTCTAATTTCTTTGTATTCAACATAACCTTTGCAAGGAGATCATTTCCTTCACAAACACTGTCATACATGTCACAACACCAAGTTTTAGTTAGGGAAGAAGTAGCAAGTTTATACCATTTAATTAGTGGGAATGGAACACTTCTCTATATTTCTAGTTCGATTTCCAAGTTAAGCTGATGAGACACACAAAACTAGCACAATACAGCTTAAATATCCATGCAGATTTTATATTTATTATTGACCAAAAGTACTTACACTGCACCTCCAGGTATATCTGTGCTTGGAAGTCCTTGACTGCAGGGTGGTCTATGATGCAAGACACAGGTACGCCATCATCCTCCTTACTCACAGTGAACGTCAGCCGGCTGGTTACTGTGTACATCTTGTCGTAGGTCAGCTCAACCTTGGGCTTGCCTATGGGAAACGCCAAAACACAAGCAAGACTTAAACACAGCAATACAGGTGCAGAATGAGAATCACATAGAAAGTCCGTAAAATTTACTTAAGCATTAGTATAATCTGAAAGCTAATTAGCTTTTAACCAAACAACCGACTGATTGTTGTTTGACAGTCCAGTTTAATGTGATGATCTATTAATATAAAAGGAATATAATATTGATAACCATGTCTTCATTTAGCTTAGAATGAGCCCTTCATATCTACATAGGGAGTGGGTCCTCTTCACCGAGTCCGTTGTGTTGTAAAGGCATGTTTCCACAGTAGGCCTAAACGGACAAACCAATAGCTCTAGCAGGAACATTTCCCTTTTTTACGTTATCTTAAAAAGCCACCGTAGTTCTCCGACATGCTTGTGGAGCTGCCGTAATGTGAGCTGCTAAATCATGGAACAGCCAGCCACCATCATTGTGGTAAAGATGTACTCTGAGCAAGGCAAACGGCGTTACATTGGTTTTCAGTAACTGAAGGTTGAAAAACATGGAGGCTGTTCTGGAAACATTACACTCATCTCTATCCATCCATAGCCACTTATCCTTTGCAAGGTTGCAGGGGTTTGGCGCCTATCCCAGCTCACAATGGGTGACAGGTAGCGTACACCCTGGACAGGTTGTCAGTCTATAAAAGGTTCACAAATATGAACATACTACCATTAACACCAGGCTCCAATTAATATAACCTTTATGCGTTTGGTCTGTGGGAATAGAGTGGAGTGGAGAAAACCTGCACATGAGTCACCATCTAGCTGAAGGTTTTGAACCAAGGACCCTCCTTGCTGTGAGGCAACAGTGATCACCACTGCCTCATCATTCTTCCAATTTCCTTTTCCTCCAAATTTGTAATGTCTAATTCATACTCAAACAATAAACACAGCACTGCTTGTTGCCTTAATCACTTGAATGAATTCCCATAGTTTGCTGGTTGGTTGTCTTCCTCCTTCAGGGCTCCATTGATTTTCAGTGTGCTTTCCACACTACAGTCATATCAAGAAGACTGAGCTCCCGAGGGTTTAGGCTGGCTTAACAAAGAAAATATGAATAAAGTTGGCATGCTTTTATTGTAAAAATCTTTGAAAATATTACCAAAAGCTCATATTTTGGATTTCTTACTAACTTGCTGAAACTCATTTTTTTGATGCACCCTTGGTTCCTCTGGGAGTACTTTGTGAACAACTTGTTTCCTTGAAGGGTCAGGCCACTAAGTTTTACTTGAAAAAATAACAAAGCTGAAACCTTTGTTCTCAAGGCTGCAAGGGAAAATGCTGATAAACACAGCCATTGTGTGGCTGCAAGCAGAATGTCTTCCTTTCATTGACCTTACAAAATATGTAGAGTGGAAATGAGGAGGGTGTCCTTGAGAATGGTCAGAGAAGGTGAATCATCTAACAATTGCCTGCTGTCAGGGGCTACTGTGCGACTGTGAATCACTCATTAGGCTTTAAGAAGCCAGATTTATTGTGTGGCCACCTTTGGCGCAGCCCTGCCAGATCTGAAGCCTGCAAAGTAACCCTCCTCTGATTAGTGGCCGCTCTGTAATATCACACACAGACAGTATGTTCTCAAAAGCAATGAAGACGATACCTCATCACAGTCATACAAAATAAGAGGGATCGCTGGAGACAACGCTACACGGCAGAGTCACAAACACAGATTGATTATTTTTACCCCTTTGTCCTACTTTCTAACAGTCTGTTGCACATGTGTGTGTTTGTGTCACATCAATAAAACAAGCAAAAGAAAGAAAAAAAAGAGGCTGCCAAGAGAAATGCTGGTACAGAGAGAAAATCGGTTTTAATGTGAGTAGTTGCATCAATCAGTTTGTATTTTAGCTGTAAAATATGCACTAAGTGCACATCCCATCCACTCCTGTGCTGCAGCTCTGCCACTGTGGTGATGCCGTCACCGCGGTGACAGCTGTCTCTTTTGGGTGCGGGGGAAAGCAAACCCGTGTGATGTGCCTGGTGTAAAGGAACAGGTTGTCATGAATAAATACCACTAGAGGCTTCAGATTTATGAAAGCACCTGAAACGGGAACCTGAAGGGGCCTGCTCAAATCAAAATGTCTTTTGAGATGCATGAAACAGTGGCGAGGAGACGTCTTTATTCAAGTCCGGTCTCTGGATCTCTTTCTTTACAGCTCAGGAATTCATTGTGAAATCATAATACTCACCTACAGAAACTAAGTGTCTGTGGGTTTGGAACCTGTACAAAGGCAGGTTATGTAAAGTATAATAGCTATAATAAATGGTATCATAAACGGTAATGTGGTTGAGATAATCATGAGCCTAAGTCTTAATTACCACACATTTCAAACTTGTGGCTCCATTTGCACAGGTTGCATATCACCCAGTGATAATATAGAACAAATTATACTGCTCAGTGCCATTCTGAAACTATGAAGGGGTCACAAATCGGAACTACAGTCTGTGAGGTGAATTTGTCTTGTTCTCGTTTTCTCTTGGCCTGAATTGAGGTATCTTCACATGACCACAGAGCAGCCTCTAGCTCACCATCCATGTGTGCTAGGTAGAGATAACACAAACGAACCCTGCTGCGCGCTGGACACCACAAGAAGTTGCTGGTGCCCATTCCTTGAGGCAGAGGAGACAGAGTGTTTTAGTGAAAGGGACATTTGAGAGAACTCCAAATGTGCTGCATCAAATATTAATGTGTTCAAATAGAAACAATGTCGCTCTTGAGGGAAACACACTGGATGCATCGACACCGATTTGCCAATTGTTTTCTACTGAAGCCCACTCACTGGAGGCATCATGCAAGGCTTATGCACATTGCTGCTTTAGGATGGGCCCCAGAGTCAACACTCCACAAAAGTAATTCGATCACATTTTCTCCCTGGGTTTGGCACATCTCAGCTAATGCTCCTTGACTACTTTTTTCTGTGTTAGCTCATCCAGTTTGTGCTACTAACAGGAATCAAATAATACAGGTCAAATCACATAACACTACAGAACGTGATAGGATCAGTGTGAATTGCCCTTTAGCCCTGATGTACAGCTAATTCTCTTTGCAGTTTTAGGCACAGGCCGGGGTCACCAGAAATGCAGCAAAGCGGCATATCCATGAATCCTCAAAAGAAAGGGAACGCTGGAAACTTGGCAACATAGTGACTGTTGAGCCAACTTACCTGCTAGACAGGAACACGCTAGCAATAGCCACAGTAGCGTCATTATAGAGATGCATTTATCATCAACGCTTGTCTCATAACTGTCTACACACCGTGGCTCTTTTTTTAGATTCGGGCCGGCACTTCATCAGTTTACTCGTTGGTATACCTCGACTTTTTCTTGCACATCAGCACTTCTCACAAGCTGTCGGTACTCGTTTCGGCACTCTCCATATCAGGTTCTCTTTGCGATTCATCAAACAGCCAGCATTTTTGCGCCGTGCCTCATAAGCCGTATGAACATAAAAACAAATCAATTCAACGTTCACGTCCTTTTTTGGCTGTAAGCTTTTCGGGCATTATCTATAGCCTAGTAACAACAAAGGTCATAAATTATGTGAAAATGAATAGTTCCAAGTCAAATTTCCAATTTTCAAGCATCAATACTCGGACAGAGCAGCTGATAGACTTCCTCTGTTTTGGACAGAGGTCCTTCAAAGGCCAGCACTGACCACAAAAAGAAAAATAAATAGATTTATACACTTAATACACTGCTCAGAAATCATTCTGGTGCCTTTGTTTTTAACTTGAATTCTGTAAAACTATCAAGGAGTTGATAGAATTATGTGACTTCAATAGAACACAAGTCGAAAAGCCCTTAGTGAGTATTAATAATGAATTAGTGAAAGCTCTCGTCAATCTGTGTCAAGGACGAATAGACTAACTTTGGAGCGAGGCCAGTAGAGATGAACGTCACCAAAAGTCAGTGGAAGGTCAAGTGACACTTTAAGTGTTCTGTCGACCTTAACATACAAACTCAGGTGGCCCTCCTCTCACTTCTTATTATTGTTGTTATTATTTAACCACATTCTTGTGGAGCAGTAAGGGAGCTGTGTCTAGTTAAACAAATAAGTCTCGACGCTTTTCTTCGCCCAAAATCCACTTGTAGAGTCTTCCTGCTGGGTAATTGAAATCACATTGTGGTTGTCCCATAGGACTTGAGGCCAGTTCTGGTTCCTGTCAGTCAATGATTTGCTCTACCTACTGGCTCTTCCTTTTTCTTTTCTTCCTTTCGTCTTAAAAAGAAGAGAATGACCTCCATAGCTACACCCTACACTGCTATAACTCACTCTTTGCATGACTTCCAATGTGTTAATAAATCCAACAAAATGATAACAGTGAAAGAAAAGACAAGAAAAGGTGATAATAGTGAGATTATGGGCCTGTGCATATTAGGAGAGATGGTTGGATTTACATTGGCAAGCATGACGATTGCAACCTTTAAATGATATTTACAGTAAGCGAGCCTGATTCTCTCTCCAGGTAATTAGGTTACATTCTGGGGAGGTTTAATTAGAAATAAGTCTTCCAGGCAATAAGCCACAGCCAAAGATAATTTAAGTCATTCTGTCCTGGTGTCAGAACTCTGGCACCATCAGCCATTCCTTTTCTTTCAGTCTTTCATTTTCAGCAGAGCAACACCAAGATTCTTTTTCACAATGTGGCTGCAGTGTAAACACACTGAGGAGTTATTTGACATGTAAAGAGCTAGCATTAAAACGTCTGGAATATCAGTGAAGTTTTGCTTACAAAGAATGTAAAATTATAAAAAAAAAACCTGATGGATTTTATAAATGTGCCCGCCATTGTGTTAGGCTGTTTCAGCTATTAGCACCTTTTCACCTGCGGCGGAAATGGATAAAAGCAAATGGCATGCTCCAAATGCAGTCTTGTAACAGGTGATCCTTTAAGTACCACTGATTGTAGTGTTATTGTAAAAAAAAAATAACTGCATCTGTCAATTGTAGAACTTCAAAGAGTGCTGAGCCTATTCTGTAAATGTGATTCCATTCCCAACAAGTGTGGGAAAACAGCGTATGCGTGGGGTCGAGTGGCATTTAGCGTTATACAAATCATTTTTCAGCTATTTATTATAACAAGCAAATGACCATTGTTTGAACGCTCAGCTAAAGAGCCGGCGAATACTGAGTGAAGGAGGGAAATATTACTCAAAACAAATAAAGTCATCGCACACCGAAAACCAAGAACATGCTGGATGGAGAGTGTTCTGTATGGAGGCACCGTGGCAAGATCCCATTAAACAGAGATGCTGTGCAACCCTGAATAATGGATCGGTATTTCAGTGGTCACCGCTACCACTTAGCCTGCATCCAAACACCATGTTTACAGCGTTACCGTCAGCTTTCTGCAGCAGATTCTTCATCAATAAGTAATCATCTTAATGGATTCGATTAATTAAATTGATATGATTTCTGTTGGTCATGTATTCATTTAACTTAATGTCAAGTAAAAAGGTTTTCACTGTGACCATCCTGGTGTACAAAATATTGAAATACAAGATTACTGAATCTGAAAAGTAAAATTCAAGAACATTCATCTTCATGTTTTAAGTCTAAAATGAGTCAGTTTCTATAATCGGACACAAGAGTATTTGCACAATTAAGATACTATATTTAGGAGCTTCACTGAACAGTGACCACAGGAGAGCTACCTTTGGCTAATCAATACTGAAATATTGCCAATAGCTAAGTATTTAGTGGTCAGCAGAAACATAGCAATGTAAGAGGATTTGACTGAATGTCAACAGTCATTTTTTGTGGTGTTAACAGCTAGTTTTAAGACTATCCCTGACCTTGGCACATTCTCGGATTTGAGCAGACCACTGAGGGTGTAATGTGCTGCAGTGTAAAGGTGAAGCTGCTCAGGGCCTTCTACACAACTTCAGATTAGGACCTTTGTTTCAAAGTCTTTACAAAGCTTGCTGTCTGGGCTCTAAGGTGGAGTTGCCTGGCAGGAGGCCTGTTCACCCCTGAGCTCCGCTCTGACTTCTGAAGCTCAGCTACCTTTGATGAAGGCATGAAAGTTGTCGCGGTGCCAACAGACTCTTGCCACCACTGCACATGCACATCGCCTTAATGGAAACTATTCAAAGTCACAGCAGAGCTCCATTTGAAAAGCAACAGCATTGATGCAAGCAGTAAATATGGGACACCAGCGAGGGAGGAAAGAAACTCCCTAAAAATGGTTCATTTATACACATGGCACAAGGGCTTAAAAAATGCACACGTCCATGCAAAAGTTGTTGAAAAAGAATTTTGCAACACTTAAAAGTAGACCGTGCAAACCTACAGAAACTTGTGTTCAGGTGCATTCTGGATTCAACAGGATCACCAGTGGCAAAGTAGTTAAATCGTTTTCACTGAATTATTTTTATTCCATGGCAAACACAATAATTCATGATGACCTTTTAAGCCTAAAACAATTTTTTTTTTCTGTTGGTTTGTTCAACAAACCGTGTATGAAATGCTAAGCAGCAGGTGTGTCATTTTGTGCATATACCAAAATTGCTTTCACCTATAGCAGTGCTATCCATTTCCATGTTCTGCAACGGATTGCAGGCTGCTCTATAAAGGAAATGCTCAGAAAGGGCATCAAGCTCCAGTGTCCCCTGATGCCCACCGGTGGGGCCTGTGCTTTACCGGTGTGTAACAACACACTATTTGGCATCGACTTTGGGATCTATCTCAACCGCTTCTTCTTGATTTCTGAAATGGTTTGCCTCTCTGAGCTTGCAACCTGCTGCGACATACTGTCCCTCAAGACATTTTGTCTTTTTGGTTTAGCCATTACTCGATCAGCAAACGGAGCAGTCAACCTGGTCTCAACAATAGTTTTAATATTGCCAGCTATTTTTAAGTTTAGTCCTGAGATTAAAAGTCCATGTTGGTTTAAGTCAAGATTAGATTTCTTCCATCACAAAACTGGGAAGGCAGTATATTTTCATTTGGCAAAGTATCCTAAATAACCTTTCAGTATGTTGTAATTCAAGTGGTCTGAGAGAAAACTAGACTCCTCTTGGCTCTGTTGTCAGGTTTTGAAAAATAAATCTACCCCGTGACGGGAAACTTAGGCCAATCGTAGGTCATTTCAGACAAAAGGTGTCCCTGTTGGCTGTTGTATAAATGCATATGCATGTGCAGGACGTTTCAGACAGTAAAAGCCTGATTTAATGGCGAAATATCCTGCAGAAAAAGTGATTATTCCAGCATTGGCAACAACTGCCTACACTGCAAATCAACCCAAAAATGGATGACAGACTTATCGAAAAGACAGTCTGATAATATTGGTGTGTTTCAGTGTTTCACAGACGGAGATGTTGTTAATATTTCAGCCTTTTGCTAACAGTAGCCAAAGGCTCACAGCTACAGGTAGTTCACTGCAGCGATTAGCAGAAGGGTAAACTATTAGCAACGTTTTCTCTCCATATCTCTAGTAGTTTAGCCTTCTGAGGGAGCTTAAATCTAGTTTACTCAACAATAGGTTATTTGAGACTTTTAGAATCCACCTCAGTGGTTGAAGTCTTTACGACTTTTCAGAATTACAGAAGGGGTGTCTGCTTGGATGTCAAATATGTAAAACGTTCTTTTTTAGTGTTTGTGGACTGACTTCACCTTAAAAACACAATGGTTGAGGTAATAGGTGAAGATTCAGGTTCATTCACATTTCAGGGTTATTGTGACTTCTTAAGAGAAAATTGCATTGAATTGCAATTGAAAACGTTCATGGTCTCCTTTTGTTTGATTTTATGTGGAATTTATGTATGGTACCGTGAAGCAGGAGTTTTCTTTCTTCTTAGAGGTGACACATCATTCAGCCCTATTTCTCTGGTTCATGGAACACAGTGTGTTCTTTCACACAGAAGTATTCTTTGTTCAGATAAGTAATCAAAAAAGTAGAGCAATGAGTAAATATTTTTGAAAAAAACATTGTCTGCAATATTACATACCAGCTTTATTGTGTTAACACAGGAAATGTCATAATAGATGATTGTGAGCGTCTCTTTATGTGCGGAGTCGACCTACCTGGAAGCTCTTTATCTCCCTTCATCCATTTGATGGTGGCAGCAGGCTTACTGCTCATGGCAGTGCAGGTCATCTCTGTCTCGTTGCCCTCGCTCAGGACCTCATCCCGGGCCTCGATGATGGGGTTACCTGGAGGAACTGCGACAGGACACACAAACGAATCTTTGTAAACATTGGGGCACTACATGTTGAGAAGACAACAGAGCTGACAGAGAGACGACTTCTTTTTTTTTTTTAAGAGTAATTAAAAGCCCAGACCACTTTTTCAGCTGAAAACCAATGTATATGTATTTAGAGATTGATCTGGATTCAGGTCCAATTTTTAGTCCAAAGTATTTGAATTCTGCATATTGTGGTATAAATATGCAAAGCAACTGCCCTCTACTGATTGATACCCAGCTACAGAGTGCAACAGGAATGTATCCTAAAACACAGAAATGAGTTAACATCTCTGCACTTCTGGTTTCCTTGTCTTGAAGTCTATGTTTTTTGAATGGGTTTTTGCTGATTTTAGATTCCTGAAATAAGGTACATGGTTAAAACCAGCTTACGATATTTTAACATTTTGTTCTACGCCATAAGATACCTTAGTAGATACCATACTACAGAATTGTTTAAGCTTATGAAAGACGGTTGCTAACAAGTGGCTAAATGAGACCACAAAACGCCAAATAGTCCGCCTTAACGGCCTCGTTGTGTATACTCGCCATCAGCAATTATGAACCTGTTTACTGTATATTAGCTAGCTTAAACACTACAACATTATGACAAGACTTAATAAGCAGCCAGATATGAGATACATGCTTTTCCTGTTCCAAACTGCTGTCAAAACCTCTTGCAGGCTTCCTAGTAAGCTGTCAACCATGATGCTCAGGATGTGAATGTATGCTGTCTTCCACAGTCTAAATGTTAATTAAAAGGCTTTTGCCTCGCTGCTACTAATAACATTGAGTGTTTGTGTATATCTTTATGTGCGTGTGTGTTTTGCGGTTGTACTTAGGACGGTGATGTCAGCGTAGGCTTCCTGGGGGGGGTCTGTGTAGAGCTGGCAAACATATCGCCCCTCGTCTGACAGAGAGACATTAGACAGTGACACCCGCAGCTCGTTGTCGGAGAAGTTCACCAGCTGAAAGCGAGCGTCTTTCAGTGCTGCAGGAGAAAAACACACGGTACTTTTGTCAATTCATATGGCATACTGTACATACACACATACACATATGCACGGTAAAATACTAGTAAATACCACAAGTCAAATGCTGTAATAAAAGAATATACAACAATGAACTTTACTCTTTACTTATTATTCATACCGTTGAAGTATTTGGACACATTTTCTCCTCGAGAATCAGATGAACTGTGTAGGATTTGGAGCCCTTTTTATGTTCGATCCCTCGATTTTAGTGAGCCAAACATAAATGGACAAACCAAACCTCATCATATATCAATATTTGCTGTCAAATCCTTTGCAGTGATTGACTGTTTGAGGTCTACGACTGAAAGAAGACCCCATCATAGCTGACATCTTTCCTGAGATGCTGAGCCATCTCCACTTCTAGCTTTTTGTTTTCTGTTTGTTTGCTTTTTTGCTCAGTGGATTGAGGTCAGAATACCTCACAGTTACTATTTCTTCTGTTATCCACTACAGCCTGGCAATCAGACTGAATTGCTATTTCATTACACTTTCCTTCAATCTGCCTCTGTTGTGATCTGTTCTTTGAGGGACCGTGGGTCATCTCCATTTTGCCCTGAGTAATGAGTAGCAAGTGACGTCTGTACATCTGTTCTGCATATATGACTTTCAGTCAACACATATGCTGCGAGAGGGAGTTAACGTTTTTCATGATGTTGAAATAAATATGAGCGTTATATCATGGAGTCAACTTTCATGGATGGTAAGAAAGTTTACGACATTGTAACCCTAGTTCTATAAGTGTAAAGTACAGTATATAAGGCAAAACTGTGCTTCCTTGTACACTGAGGCTTGCTATGCTGTTACGCTATTCAGTTTTAAAGCTATTAATTTACAAACAAATAATAATAGCACAATAGCAATGATAAGAGGTTGTTTTCTGTTTTCCTCTTTCTCTCTTTGAGAAGGCGTGTTTGTGTAAAAATGCATATTTAATAGTTTGTATATGCACAAAGATGCCACAAGTCATTGTAGCTTGAAGTGCATCACAGCTTCCAGTCTGCTTCGAAGAACTTTCCAGAGAAAACAATGAAAGAAAACCACAGAAAGAAAGACACAATTTACACTTGAATAACTCTGTCCTGTTTGGCACGTGCAGTCATACAGAACATGCTAACATGATTAGTATAAAAAGAGGCTGACATTTAGTTGGCCTACAGTGCAATTGAGGACAAATCCAGGAATCCTATCTCTTGCTCATCTGCAGCCACTTTCATCTTGCCTTACCTTGTTTGCCCATCTACCTAAGCGCACTCTATCAGCTGTAATGTAGAATGACAACATGTGGTAAGATGAAAGCCTACCCGTCTCCATCCCCCTTTGATGTGCTGATAAATTCTGGTCTGACTGACGGCAACTCCAGGCTCTTTACACTCTGTACTCACCGTGTATAGATCTGTGTACTCTGGTTCTGTTTTTTTATTTCTTAAAGCTTAAAGCATTAAACATGGAAACTTCTGACACACAAGACCTCAAAACAGACATAAATAGATTTTTTATTTTTTTTTTTAATGCCGGGCTACATTATGATTTCACAGATGACGAACAGAAGGAAGGTGATGCTGCTGTATTGCCAGGGTGTATTTGCCTTCAACGTCACGAGATTGACACATGGAGAGTGATTGAAAAAGGAGAGAGGGAGACGGCCAGTAAGAAATGAGAAAACTAATCACCACAATTGATTTTGTGCATCATTAAACAAGAACATCAGGCACATATCAAGTGCTGACTGGAGATTTTTTTGTCACCACATTAAGGAAAAAAAACAACTAATTTTTACAATGCCCTTGTCTATAATGCATTATACACATACTTACAAGGTGTGATAATCAGCTCATAGCACTGTAGAATTATAGGTACAAGCACTCAAATATCCATAATGCTTTATTACAATAAACAATGGAAGTATTACCACGGCGAGGCTCCTCAGGCTCTCTGCGACATGGTGCGACCATCACAGGCCTTTGGATTGTCCACAAGGAATACTACTGCACGGGTATGTGTGTGCAAAACCATAGACTGTATATCTGTTGCTCTGCAGACACAGTTATTTCCGTGCCTCTTTATCAACCTCGCATTTACATGTGTATTGTTGAAAAAAATAGACTTCAAACCAAAATAAACTCTTCAAGTCACGGTTACACTCTCGAGACGCGTGCGAGCGCAGAAATCTGCAAAGTGAGAGCGTATCCGTTTGATACACGTCTGATACACTTGCGGTCTAGATGGAGGGGTTAGCAAATTATGGGTTGTATTCATTCAATCGACAATATAGCTGTGGTAGTTGCAGACACACCTGGCTGAGATCTGCGCTCTATTGACGAACCTTTCTAGTTGAAATCTGTAGTTTGTTGCTTTAAAGGCCCTTGTTGGTACGGGCATTGTAAATGAGAAGTAGCTCACTAGTTGTGCAATCCTTATGTATACTATGTCCTAAACACGGAGTGAAATGACTTATACGGTCAAGTATCCTTATTTCATAATTGCTGATCACTCACTTATATTGTATTACAGCTCTGGGAATGGGGGAAAAAAATATTATGATAATATTATATATTATGATACTTGAAGTTGTAAGTCATTATAAATTTGTCATGATTATTGTTATAAAGCATGATATATTACAAGTATAATACAAGTGCTTATTACTGTGAATATACAGTGCTATGAGCAGATCATAATGCATTATAAGTATGTTCATGATCATAGAACGTGCTACCAAAATCTGCATTCACAATGTAAAGCATTTAATCTCAACATAAATGTATGCTCTGTTTGGCCTAATAGAAAAAAAAAAAAGACTTGGTCATACTGTTGGCTGCTTTGCACATGACATAATGTGCTGCTGCCACCTTCCCACTTCTCTCTGCCTGTGATTATCCTGCCAGAAAGGTCTGCTGACAATACTTCACAGTACAAAGACACAAGAAAAAAAACTTGAACCGAGCCATCTGACAGCGCAGCATACAAGGAGGCTATTTTTCATGCAAATGCTTATTCTTTCCCGACACAGACGTCATTCTTCACATTCGCTAAAAAAAAACTTAAATGGTTGGTTTCCATTAGTGAAGCTATTAGATTATTTTATCTAAGCACAATGAAGCCCTTATTGTGGCACATGAATAATACGCCCCTAATTAGTGTAGCTCATTCAAAAGCCTGGTTAGCCCTCATTAAAATTAGGGGTCAGACTATAATCCTAATGATTTAATTGAATTAAATATTGCCAGATTAAAACATACCGATGCTGCAGTATACAGATGCACTGAAGAAAGCGTACAACCTGTTTTTTTAGAGGCAGAGCTGCTCCGGAGGGAAAACTACTCATACTTTTTTGCTACTGGTATGATGAAGATATATAATGGATGAATCGAGGGAACTGTGGTAAAGGTGACTGGCAGCAGTGTAAGCATCTCAATATTGGTAGTTCTGTTATGAACTGAGAAACAGTATAAGGATCCGAGTTGAATTCTTAGATTTTAAGCAAAGTGACTCATATGAGCTTTGTAGGACATCATGGTGTCTAGAACAAGCTTTAAGGGGGCCTATAACGGTCATTTTCAGGTTCATGCTTGTATTTTGCATTGTTTGTTCACAAAACACATTTTTCTCAAGCTGTCTGTCTTAATATACCTGTATTCACCATTTTAGTGTCTGTCTCTTTAAGCCCCCTTCCCTGAATGGCAAAACTGAATGTTGTTTTGAATCCCATGTTTTCTGACCTAGGCAGCCCACAAAAAAAAAAAGACTGAGTTGTCTTATTTCACGGTACGTGCGTTGGTAGGCACTCCAGACACCCAAATATATGTCCACAAGTGATGCACTGAAAAAGTATAAGAAACTATATCCCTTCAGAAGGTTCCAAGAGACAGGTGACAACGATGGCCCTGACAGTTGAGAGTCAGACAAACCTTTCAATGCAATGAAGAGTAGTAAGAGTCTGCAGTTGGAAATTTAATAACAATAGAAATGTAATATAATCTGAATTATAAGTCGCTTTGGATAAAAGCGTCTGCTGTAATGTATATGGTCTGAAAAAATGTGGGAACCTCTGGTTTATATCAACCAGTGGGAACAGCTGTCAGTCTCAACAGCTGAGTTGAGATCAGAGCTCTGAAGCCAAAATATTTCACAAGACAATAACACCAATTTTAAAATATCCTGCAGTGTTACAAATAACAGTCCTCGATCAGGATTCTGAACAGCACAAAGATCAAATAGCTTGTTCCTTTGCCAATGGCCTTCCTTCCATCAACTCGACAAAATCCATGCCAATCAGATATAATCCATTTCACAAAAAAAACGCTCATAATCCTCTTATGTATCACTTCTAAATAAGGCATTGTGGTATATGCATGAGCTGAATGAATAAATGCCGCCTAATACACATTGAGAAGAAACACTGAGACACTGTGGCAAGGACACAGTTCCACATGCTCAGGGCTTGGGGCAACAATACTGTAGGCTCAAAGAGATACAAGGACAGACGATGGAGAACAGTCTAGTTCACACAGCAGGGTTGAACACAGTGGTCTTCTTCAGAAATAAAACGCGGCGGTCCTGGCAAACAGAAGGTGAACAACACAGCCGACAGTTCAGAGCACACTAGAATATATATCCTCTCTGCGTACTTTGGACAAAAATAGAAGGTGACCTTTAGCTTCATGCTCCTTCTGCCCTGTTCTTCTTCTTCTCTTGTTCTATCATATCTGATAGCATGAGAAGGACATCACAGATGTCTGACAAAGGTAAATGATAGTCAGGACTTTGGAAGAGTCCGTCCAAACTCTGAAAGGCTGCCCATTATCTGATCTGTCACTTTTTTACAGCTGATGGGGATGAAGCTAATTTAAAAGCAGCGATAAGACAGAACAGCAGAAGGAGACTTTGAGAGGTAGGTGACAATGTGAAAGTTAATTTTTCCTCTTCTTATTCAAGTTATCGAGTGTAGTGTCACTTG